TATGCTAATTACTCTGTTTCTGGTTTTGTAAACAACATCACACAGGTAGTTATTATAAATATATTGAATGCTGAAAGAATTTTTTGCTATATCAGGTGATATTTCAGAACATGCAGCTAAAATTGGATAAATTGGATCAATGCTTGCTTGTACAAAATCACGATTTCTTTTAAGATAGCTTTTTATAAATGAAAATGCTATTTCAATTAGATTAAAATTTGGTGAATAAGGAGGAAGAAATAAGATATGTGCACCAATAGCATTAACTATATTAATTAATAACTCATTATTGTGAATTTGGGCATTATCCAAGACAAACACTGTTTAATTCAGGATATGTATGCATTTGTAGAAACTTAAAGTAATAGTAATATTTATATATACCAGGAATCGAAACTCGATATTAATCCGGAGCTTAATATTTTAAAATAGAAAAGAACAATTTTTTGTATAGCAAATTTAGAATTTATTTATTTTAATTGTTTAGAAAATCGTAAAGTTTGTTTTTAATAATATACAGCATGTGAAATAATAACATATCCAGATGGCAAAAAGGCAATTTAATATGATAATTCATGTGGCACAAGCAAAAAATTTGCAGAAGTGTTTTTTTTTTTTTTTTGTGATTTTAATATGTAGGGTGCTTCAAAAGTCCCTATACGCATGCCCTATTTGTTTGCTTATAGAGATTACGATGATCTTAAATATATATAAATTTAAAAATAGAGACCATATATAAGGACTTTTGAAATACCCGTTATAGTAAAAGCACTAATCGCAATGTGATCGAAGTTAGAAATTGTTAATTAAAATTATATCAAGTAATAGCACAAAATTTAGTAATTAGTGATTTTCTAGATCAGGCCAAGTTTGTTAATATTTAATATGAATAATTAAATTATAGTTGTAATTAAGCATGTCAATGAATTAAGAATGTATAAAAGAAATGTTCAGACACAGCTAGAGATTAATAGTCTTGGAAAGCACAAGACTGCCAAACTTTTGCACAATTACTTTGCTAGCTTAGAAATTGCCCGATTATAGTAAGTAAAAAAGTACAGTAAAAAGAAATGAATTAATTAAATAAGATTACATAGTGTGATAAAAATTTATATAAAATTAACCAGCTATTCATGAATTCGAATAGTCTTTTTGCTTACCAAGTTAACGCAAATATGTAGAAAGCAAAATTTTTTAATGCGATAAAAAATTCTACAAATTTATTAATAAAAAAAAACTAAAAAAGTCGGTTAGTTGAAATGTAGAAAATATAAGTGTAGTGCCATGTTAAACAACATAATTTGTGTGTACAGTTCGCGTATCTAAAAGAAACGTGATTAATATCAGTGACCTGTTAATATAAATAAATTTAAACTGATTAGTATAGTAATGCTAAAAAACATAAACTTAAACAAAAAGATACATATATAAGATCCACATTCAAAGTAGAGTAGTAATTTAGTGATAATTAAATAGCTAAATATGAATTAAAAAAGTAGTAATTGTAAAACACTTCAAAAAAGAAAAGAAAAGGAAAATGAAACAGTTCATCAACGTGAGGCACGTCTTGCACGTGATCGGGAAAATAAGCGCAAAAAAAAGCAGTAGAATCTAAAGAGAAACGTGAAGCACGCCTGAGTAGGGACCGTGAATGAAAAAGAAAAAAGCCTATGATGTTTCGAAGTGATGAAAGCAATGTAGCTACAAGTAGTACAACTGCAAATATTAGTGTGGTGAATGCTAATATTACAAATGTTGTAGTAGAAAGTAATAATGTTCCTGCTACAAATTTTGAATCAACATCGGCCACTACGATCAATGAAGATGAGTGCAAACGCTTGAAGAAGTTTCGCAGTAAAATGAATAAGCTAAAACACGTTCATTGCCCGACGTGTAACGAATACTTTTTATCCATTGTGCTTGTAAATGGAAAATGCCATCGTTGTCATACTGAAAAGACAGAACTCAAAAAGTTCTCAATAGGAAATAATATGGATCCAGGTGAGGTTCCTAAGAAACTTAAAGATCTTACAGAGGTTGAAGAAATGTTAATTTCGCAGGTCTTCACTGTGATGTCTGTATATCGACTTCATAGAGGACAATATGGATATAGAGGCAATATAATAAACTTTTCTCAAAATATTCAAGAGTTTACTAATCGGCTTTCCAAAAATCCATCGACATTAGACATATTAGTCATATGTAAAAAGTCTGCAAATGATTATACAGCATTTAAAGACTTTAACATACATCGCTCTAAAGTTGCTCATACATTGTATTGGTTGAAAGATAACAATCGTTACTATTCTAACATTATTATTGATGAAGAAGTAATTTCGTCTTTATCTGAAAATGGGCATATTGGTAATAGGCTTTCACAGCTTCAAACTGATGAAGACTCAAGTAACGAGGACTCAAATGATGGCATTGTGAGCACTTTTGTACCATTTCTTTCTTCAGTACAACGTAAGGATACCACCATTAATAACGCTATTGAGCATGTACAGGCCGAAAATCCTATAGCAGATTGGCTATAAATTGATAACAATCTGGTCAACTAATTTCAAACACCAGGTTACATTGCACAAGCATTTCCAAGTCTTTATCCATATAGTAGTGCAGATCTGCAGTCTGAATATATTAAAGAAGTTAAACTAACTAAATATTTTAAACATTTACTTTTGTACAAAGATGGAAGATTCGTGTGCTATACACATTGGCGATACTTTGCATTAAACTCTTAGATGCATTGGAGAGCGTTACAAGAAGGAAGCGTGTTTGTTAGACAAAATTTGAGTGATGGCCAGCTTACAGTAAAAGAGATAAAAATAGAATTGCTGAAGGCGATAGAAATATGTCTAATAGAATCATGTGATATGGGGAAAGCTTACGTAGGTCATGACAATTTGAATGGTATAGCGATGTGAACTATCCGATATGATCAAGCAGATAGGTTCTCAGGGGCTAATATTTTTTATATTTAGTGCTGCTGATCTACATTGGCCAGAGCTCCATGAGCTCATACAATTAAGTGGAAACTATAGGGAAGAAAATGATTTTGCGAAACAGCGAAGCAAGAACATTATCAATAACCCTCATATTGTTAGTTGGTTTTTCAACAAATGATTCGAAATTTTTTTTGAAGACGTGTTGAAACCACTATGGGATTTAGAAGATTGGTGGTACAGATTTGAATAGCAGCATCGTGGTAGTGTTCATGTACACAGAATAGGAAAAAAAGAAATATGCTCGTAATTGAATGGAAGCACATGAAGGAAGATGAAAACATAATAAAAAATGTCATACAATACCTAAATAACTTGGTTACTACAGTCAACCCAGGACTTAATGCAGCTGTACCAGAGCGTCATACATGTCAAAAATAGGATAATGAGATAAACAACGATTTGCAAGATTACATAGATCTTATTAATAAATTACAATGACACACATGATGTAGCCTTTCATATTGCCTTCAGATCAATAAAGCTGGACAATAATTTTGTAGATATGAATATCCCAAGGAGAATTGTGAAAAGACCTATATTAGAGAAGATAGTTGAGGTTAGGCAGAGCTTGTAACTAAAAGAAATGATGCATTTATTAATCCACATTGCAGAATTCAATTGCAAGGTTGGAGAGCAAATGTGGATTTGAAACCGGTACTTAGCCTTTATGCGGCTTTACAATACATATCCAAGTATACAAGTAAAGCAGAGCCACGGTCTATAGCATTCTCAGAGATATTAAATCAAATCTTTCATGATAGTAGACCTGATGATTCATCACTCAGTACAATTCAGAGATTACTTCTGCATAGTGTTGCAGAGCGAGATATATTAGCACAAGAAACTTGTCATATTCTTCTTGGCATCCCACTTTATCACTAAAGTTGTTCTTTTGTTTCTTTGAACCTCAATATAGAGACACCTAGATGGCTTCGTGGTACTGGTAACAATACGATTAATGATACTGGATTAACTTCATGTTCGTCTTTGCAAATATATCATGAGCGACCTAGTGAGTTTGAAAATTTTTCATTTATTTAACTCATAAATTTGTGAATAATCGGTGAAAGATAAGCGAAAGTGAAAATATTGTACATATTTGGCCATGGCCTTCATCCCTATGCAATGGACCTCAATGAGAGGAATTTTGTAGAATAAAAGTTATTCTCCATGTTTGTCACCGCGATCTTGATCAATTAACAGAAAATGGAGCCGTTTTATAGGCAAACTTATATGAGCGGTATCTTGCCAACGACCCAATAGATTTACTTGGTTCACCTGTAGAAAATGACGAAGACAATTTAATTGAGAAAGAGGATGAAAGTGAACAAATTGAAGATGATGAATAGGAAGAACTACGTCATAAATGGATGGTTTTAGCAGAAATAGGCCCTAATGCAAATATACTTAATTCATCAGAACTGGGAGCTCATATGATGGATATAAATTACGATTGGCATAGTAAAACTATGAAATGCTACTCAGAGTCTGAAATTAGAAATGCAGGAACTTTTGTACAACAGGTATTTAATAGCGTTATACTGGAAGAAAATGTGATGGATAATATTGATTTTTAGACTTTAAATAAAAATCAAGAAGCAGTGTTTAATAGAATAGAGGCACATTACCGAAGTATTCTTGAAGGTCATCAAACAGAGCTGTTAAAAATTATTGTAATGGGAACTGCAGAAACAGGAAAATCCTACCTTATAAAGGCAATTCGATGCCTACTTTATATGATGGCAGCAGATAGATCTCAACCACCTATCTTAGTACTTGCCCCAACAGGTGTTGCTGCTTTTAATATTAGTGGGACAACACTTCATTCATCACTTTCCCTTCCAATATTATCAGGAAGTAGCTTAGATATAAGTGGTGAGTGGCTAACTCAACTACAAAATAAATTAAGTCATGTAAATTATTTCATTATTGATGAGAAGAGTATAGTTGGATGCCATATGCTTGGTTTGATTGACATGAGACTGCACCAAGTATTTTTAGAACATAATAATAAACCATTTGGTGGTCGTTCCATTATTATGTTTGGCGATTTTGGTCAACTTCCACCAGTACTTGACCTTCCAATATATGCAAACAATATTTTATGAGACCCAATTTCAAGCAATGGCATTAAAGCATATAAACATTTTAGAGAAGTATATGTGCTTAATGTGATTGAACGTCAATCTGGTGAATCAGTAGAACAACAAAATTTTAGAAATATTCTTATAAAGTTACGTAATGGAAAATCTATTTTAAGTGATTGGGAAACGCTTACAGTCTGACTTGAAGACAAGCTTAATGGAGCTGAACATGATCAAATTTCAGAAGCCGTACATATTCTACTAAAATGGTCTGAAGTTGATAAGATTAATATAGAAAAGCTTATATCTTTGAACAGTTCCATTGCAAAAATTATTGCAACACATACCAGGATTGGCGCAAAAAATGCAGATTCTGATATGGCAATGGGTCTTGAAAGTCAAATATTATTGGCTAAAGGAGCTTGCATTATGCTAACTGCAAATATATAGACAGAAGCCGGGTTAGTTAACAGTGCATTGAGAATTGTTCAAGATATTTTATTTGATGGGCATGGTTCACCTTCGTTATCTGTAGCAGTTTTGATTACCTTTGAGCATTATAAAGGACCCACTATAATTACTTCTGAAGGAAAAGAAGTTGTACCAATTGTGCTAATTCGACATATGTAGGAAGGGAAATTTGGAATGTGTTCACGTCTTCAAGTCCCAATATGTCTTGCTTGGGCAATTACTGTACACAAAAGCCAGGGACTCACACTACCAAAGGCTATAATAGATTTTGGGAGCAAAGAGTTCGCAGCTGGTCTTTCTTTTGTAGCTATATCACGAGTTCGAGCTCTCAAAGATATTATATTCAAGACGTTTACCTTTGAAAGGCTTCAAAGAATTAAGAAATGTAAAAGGATACAAGAAAGAAAGACCGAAGAAGAACGACTAATCTCTATAGCTAGAGAAAATAATAACAGGCTCTAAATGTGAAAGAAGTAAAAATTTTTGAGAAAAGTAGTTCAAATTGTTAAAAAACTTATAATTAATAAAAGCAGGTAAGAAAAATTAATAAGATCATATTATATAAGTTATATTGTATTATATAAATATAAAAGGATACAAAAAAGAAAGACCAAAGAAGAATGAGTAATCTTCATAGTAAAAGCGGGTAAAAAAAATTAATAAGATCATATTATATATATCATATTATATAAATATAAAAGGATACAAGAAAGGAAGGCTGAAGAAGAATGACTAATCTCCATAGCTAGAGAAAACAATAACAGCTCTAAACGTGAAAGGGGTATTAATTAATAAAAGCAGGTAAGAAAAATTAAGATTATAATATATATTGTATTATATATTATATATAGCAATTATATATTTGAATAGATCTAAAATAAATAAAATTAATAATCAAAATATATATATATCGATGTTTGTTATATAAATATGCAAGTGGCGACAGACGGAAATTGCAGGGTTATGGTTTTGATAGTTTTAGTAAAATAGCATCAAAAATGGTAATTTTGTATTACCGTGCGTAGAAATTGAAAGTCCTTCGCTACGCTCCGGACAATTAGTTTTTTTAATTTTGAAATATCAATACAATAAATTTTTTATTTTATTATATAATACTTACAATCTCATTGATTACAAAATTTTTAAAATGTTGCTTATTACAACTTCTTTCAATAACATCAGTAGCAATTATACTTGTTAATGTTAATACAGATAAAATTGTATATCTTTTTTCTCGAATAAAAACTGTTTTTTTATATGCCCGATTATTATTATTATTATTATTATTATTTTTTCTTCAGCAAGTCCTGCCATGACTATATGACCTCTTCAGTTATATACCCAACCCAAAGACTAGTTACTGCGTGCTTTTTGCATGGGACCTGGCCTGGACCTCTGGTACCACATTGGGTACCCGAATTCGACTGCCTGCACCAACGTCCGGAGATGTCGAATCACCTTTCTATTGTACTGGGATTTCACTAGCCAATCTGGTGTCACTATAAGTTCTTGTAGTATCTTTATCAGACTCGGTCTCATATTATGTCTCGTGACTTCAGTTAATCCAAATTGGGGTTCTAAAACACCTTACTTCACAGCCACAACTTCTCAGAATAACTATTTTCTGAATACGTCTATCTATAGATATCCCGAGTTCCCTGTACCTTGCGGTGTTTCACTTCTGTTTTCGAATTTTCATTAATCCGCCGTTGGGAGGAATTGAACCGGCAACCGTCCGATTTGCAACCTGAGAGCATAATTGCTATACTATCAACCTACAGGTCTATATGCCTGATTATTGATATCAGAGTATCTATAAGTTTTAGTACAAGTTTGTTCATTTTTTGATACTTTATCAAGAAAAATAAGCTGCTTAGGCTTATAATAATCTGCTATATGAGCTATAAATGAGATCAAAGTAGTTCATTTCTTTCTGTAGCGGCTTTGTATGACTATAAAT